TTTTCCTGACTTTTTTCTAAAAACGAAGATTGGTGTATTCCAAGGAGAATTACTAGGAATTACACTTGCAACTGTTCCTGTACCAGTTGTTGTGCGGCAGCTAATTTTTCTGAAGAGAGGGGCCATTGGTCAACCCATACAGGATTGTCTGATAACCAAGTAATTTTGTCTGCGTGGGCTACAGGACAGACCGTGGCCCCTACTGAAAATGTCCTACTCCTTTCTTGTCTGTTTTTGGTTTAGATTCTATAGGGTTTAAAATTACAGTTTGGGTTTTTCCTGACCCTGTGCCGGGTACATACCCGTATTTAAGCATCTGGGCAGTAATGATCTCATTAGGACTACCTATGACCATACCTATCTGAGCCAGCAAATCCCTTCCCCAAAGGTTGAAGGGTAGGCCTGCAACAATATAAGGTTAAATTTGGCCTTGATTTCCCTTTTTATCTTCCCATTTTAACATTTTTGTACTTTTCTCGGGATTTTTGCTCTGACCAATACCGGTGAGATGAGTAATAGTAGCACTTATTGGCCATGTGGCAGGCCACTGGGTTTTGTTAATTATAGTCACATCTGCTCCAGTATCTACTAGTCCGGTAAAACCCTTTCCATCTAGCCATAATGTCATCATGGGCTTGTCAGGAGATATCACTTCTGCCCAATAGACATCAGAAGAACCAAAGCCTAAGTTACCTCTGTCCTTTTTTATAACTCTATTAATGGGTTTTATGGAGAGGTAAGAGCTGTGCAAATCTTTGTCCAGGGGACACAGTACTTAGAACTTTAGGGGAGGACTTTGATTTCTCCTGTGTAATCATTATCTATTACTCCGGGGAGGACTTGTAGACCTTGTAAGGTAAGGCCACTTCTTCCTAGAATAAGTCCAAAAGAACCCTCAGGCAGGGGCCCAAAGACGCCTGTGGGCAATGCTTGAACTCCCATTTCAGGTGTTAATACTGTGTGAAAGGTGGAACAGGTCCAATCCTGCACTTCCTGTTGTGGCTCAACAGAGGTTTGAAACGGATTGATGGTTGGAGGAACAAAACTGACTGCCCCATAGATTTGTTTTGCTTGGAGAAAGTGGTTGCCCTTGGGCATCCCTTTTGGATTTACATTCATTGGCCCAATGCTTCTCTCTCTTGCATCGTGGACATAAGCCAGGGACTTTTTTATTAAGGGAGGGTTTTTTATCAGCATTACAATCTTTAGCATAGTGACCAGCGGCGCCACATTGAAAGCACCTATTTTTTGACTTATTAAGAACTGTTTCACAGTATAGCCCTGTAGGGCTGCAGCCATAGCTAATCCCTCTTGATAGGCAGAGGCTATGTCTGAGCACAGGCGTATATACCCTGAGAGATGTTTTCCTTTTATAAGGGCGGATAGCCGCTTGGCAGGCAGCATTAGCATTTTCAAATGCTAGTTGTTTAACAAAATCTGTGCTTGCATCTGCATTACCAAAAAGTCTGCCTGGCGATGTACAAATTCTGAAAAAGGTTCATCTGGCCCTTGTTTTATGCTGGTGAGGGAGGCACTAACATCCCCCTTTGTACCCGCAGCTTGAATTTGGGCGTACAGACCTGCATCATACTGCATTTGTGCGTCGCTGGTAGCGTAATTGCCTTCACCAGCTAGCATGTCAAAATTCCAATTATTATTAGCCTGTGCGTTGCGGCGGGCAGTTTCCTTACAACATTCATAAAACTCAGATTTCCACAACAAATAATCACCCCCTGAAAGGGTGGCTCGGGCCAAGGTCTGCCAATCTCCTGGGGGTAAGCCAATTTTCAGCCACTGATTCTAAAATCGCAGTGGTGTACAGAGCAGTAGCGCCGTATTGTGCCACTGCAGTTTTTACTTCTTTGATTATTTTAAAATAGAAACCTGCATGATGCCTCCAAGCTGTCCCCTGCTGGTCGGTGGTTTCTGTCACCGGGTACGTGCTTGGATCCTCTAAATCTAATAAGGTGTTGAGCTGAGGAGGTTGTCTTAATGCCGCTCCTCTACGGGGAGGTATGACATTTTGGGTAACTTGAGTTTTAGCCTCATTCTTTATTTAACCTTTTATTTTTATTTTTTCAAGCTGTTCTATGAGCCCTTGATGCTCAGTTTCAAGCCTAACCTGTTCTTTTAGGTACTCGATTTTTTCTTGTAACCTTTTTTGGGGATCAATAATGGAACATGCCATTGGGGGTGCTGAGGGCCCCACCTTGTAAGGCGGAGGTCACCGCCTATGGGGGAACCAATCTGAGTTTTATATAACGGTCCACCTCTTAGAAGAAGTCATCCCAATCTATTCCCTCCTCAATGCCTTCGTCTTCAGAATTATTTGTTCTTTCAATTAGCCAGGGGGTCTTTTCCTTTTTGGTGTGTCTAGATCCTGAGTTGGGGCCCCCTGGGCAGACACCCTCTTTGGCCCTCTTTTTGTGTTTGCTGAAGGCGCATTTTTAGTCTCAGCCTGGCATTGTGACTCTCCGGGCGTCCCCTTTGAGTCACTATCAGAGGACATTAAATCCTCCTCATTAGCTTGTGGCGACTGCACCTCATCAGTTACAGACAATTGCTTAGAGTTACCTGGGCTCTTAGAACTGTTGAGGGTGCTTTTATCGAGTTCTCCCTTTAAGAGAGACTCTCCCTGAGTAATTACATTGGCAATGAGGGGGTCATGGCATCTCTGAGTTAAAACTTCATCTATCAGGTTCCAATAAAAAAAGGCTGTGACTGGGACCTTCTCGGGTCCGAAAGCACTGTAATAATCTTTTAAAGCATCTCCCACCCTTTTCCACCGTTTTTGGTCTATGGTTCCTTCCTGGGAAAATCAAGGGCAGACATCCTGAATGTAGTCAAAATATTTACACAACTGTTTTATTTTCACCTTTACTCCCCGTGCCTTTAAAGCCTTACTTACTCATGCTGGCTGATTTCCTGTCCCATATTCGCAGTCCGCTTACCGGAGCGTGAGTCCGTGGCAGGCTCCCACGACGCTCTTTCCTCCGGGTTTCTTAATCCTTCTGCGCCGGCTGACCTCGATGGCATCCCTCACTGTGTCCCTCGTACTCGAGCTCTCACGTTGGGCGCCAGTTTGTCCCGACCCACGGGACGAGCAATGGAGACCCTAGGGAGAGAGACAGGAGACACGGAGAATGGAGACAAGTCAAGGATCTGATCAAGTCTTCTTTATTAGCTACAAGCCAATTGCTTATAAACAAGTAAGGGTGGGAAGTTCTGAGGGCTGAGGTCAGAGGCTGCAGCCTAGCCTCCTAACTAGGAGAAATGTGAAACTTAAATAAGGGAAGGCCACAAGATGGAGGTTTAGGTAGGAGGAACAAAAGCTTAAGCAACATAGTTACAAGATGGCTACTGCTCCCCACAATTTGGTACATTTTTACGGTGGCTGGTAGTGGTTGTTCCTTTACATGTCTAGCTGTTCCTTCAAGAGCTTTTGTAAGGCAGGCCTGGTGGTGATGAAGTCTCTCAGCAGTTGCTGATCTGTAAAGGATTTTATTTCTTCTTCGCATATGAAGCTTAGTTTGGCTGGATATGAAATTCTGGGTTGCAAATGTTTTTCTTTAAAAATGTTGAATATTGGCCCCCACTCTCTTCTGGCTTGTAGGGTTTCTACCAAGAGATCTGCTGTGAGTCTAATGTGCTTCCCTTTGTGGGTAACCTAACATTTCTCTCTGGCTGCCTTTAACCAGTATTGAAATGAAGAAAAAAATGCTAATCTTTTTTTTTTTTAATTGAGACAGTATCACTCTGTCACCCAGGCTGGAGTGCAGTGGTGCAATCTTGACTCACTGCAACCTCTGCCTCCCGGTTTCAGGTGATTCCTCAGCCTCCCAAGTAGCTGGGATTACAAGGGTGCACCACCATACCTGGCTAATTCTTATATTTTTAGTAGAGATGGGGTTTCATCATGTTAGCCAGGCTGGTCTTAATGTCCTGACTTCAGGTGATCCACCCACCTCGGCCTTCCAAAGTTCTGAGATTACAAGAATAAGCTACTGTGCCCAGCCAATAGTTCGTTGTTGTATATAACTTAGTATTCAGTACTGCAGATGCACATAATGGGTAAATCTGTCTGTTCACTTGCTAACAGCTGTCTGGCTTACCTCCTGTTTGGGTTATCACAAACAAAGCTAAGAACATTCCTGTACCAGTCTTTTATAAACGTATGTTCTCAGCTCTCTTGGGTGGATGTCTGAGAAGTGAGTGGATGCCTATATGATCACTATGTCTAACTTATAAACAAAAAAAAAAAACAACTTCCAAACTATCAGAGTCACAACAGCATTTGATATTCAGGCCAGTAGAAACCGCAATCCAAAATGGCCCTAAGCTCTAAGAAGCCATACACAAAAATGAGAACATAAAACTATTACATACAAACCAATGAAGCACTGGGTTTTCAAAAACCAAAGGTAGAAGCAGGAAGACAGCTCACATCTGCTTTTTTTTTTTTTGGAGATGAAGTCTCACTCTGCCCACCAGGCTGGAATGCAGTGGTGCGAACTCAGCTTACTGTAACCTCTTCTTCCCAAGTTCAAGCTGTTCTCCTGCCTCAGCCTCCCAGGTAGCTGGATTACAGGCAAGTACCACCACACCTGGCTAATTTTTGTACTTTTAGTATAGATAGGGTTTCACCATGTTGGCCAGGCTGTTCTCAAACTCCTGATCTTGTGATTCACCCGCCTTGGCCTCCGAAAGTGCTGAGATTACAGGTGTGAGGCACCATGCCCAGCTTCTCCCTTCTTTTCTACTCAGTTGCCTTAATGACTTGAGAGATTTTACCCCATTTGGCAGAAAAACAAACTGAGGTCCAGAAGAGAAGTGAGAACCACAAAGCTAGTAACAAGCAGCATTGCCAGGGACACAGCATGGATTCAGGCCACAGGGTGGAAAAAAGGGAACCAGGGCATCCTAGATAAGGAAAACTCACACTTACTTCCTAGACTTGGGGCATTTCTTCTTCCAGTTCTTTACCAAAACAGGCATGACTCGTTCCTACATGTCCTCCTTGTTTAAGGAGCAGAGGCCACTGCTCTCCAGGGGCTGGTGGTAGCCCCAGATATCAACCTGAGGCCAAGACACAAGATGGTTAGGCAATAAGAGGAGGGCGGGGCTCACTCACTCCACACGCATGCCAATGCTGCGCCCCTCCCCAGCACAAGTGCCCGCTACAAACAAAGGCAGCCACACAGCTGGGGATGTCTGAATGCGGACATTTGCACATATTACAAGTCTATTACAGCTCATTCTTTTGGGTCATAAAGGAAAAATGGCTTTCTTTTGGGGGGGTGCACACAAAAGATTTAGGGAAAAAAATGATTAAGGAGAAAAATATCAAAATGGCTCTAATTCAGTATTTTATCATTCATTCATTTTAGAAAGAGAGAGTGTCACTGTGTCACCCAGGTTAAAGTGCAGTAGTGTTTTCTTGGCTCACTGCAACCTCTGCCTCCCGGTTTCAAGTGATTCTCCTGCCTCACCCTCCCAAGTCTGGTAAATTTTTGGTATTTTAGTAGAGACAGGGTTTCGCCATGTTGCTCAGGCAATCTGACCCCTCTTGGCCTCCGAAAATGCTGGGATTACAGGCATGAGCCATCATGCTCAGCCTGCCTATTTATTTATCTATCGATCCATCCATCCGTCTATTTGCTTATTTATTTACTTGGTGACAGGGTCTTGCTGTGTCACCCAAAATGGAGTGCAGTGGCACAATCACAGCTCCCTGCAGCCTCACCAGCTCCTGGTCTAGAGTGATCCTCCCAAGTAGCTGAGACTTCAGGTGAGCCATTGCTCCTGGGCTCAAGCAATCCTCCCACCTTGGCCTCACAAAGTGTTGGGATCATAGGCAGGAGCCACCATGTCCCACAAACTTTTTAAATTTTTACATTAAAAAAGACTAATATGGGACAGGACCAGTAGCTCATGCCTATAATCCTAGCACTTCAGGAGACCAAGGTGGGAGGACTCTGTGAGTTCAGGAGTTTAAGACCAGCCTGGACAACAGTGGGTGACTATCTCTATAAAAAGAAAAAATAAAAACTATTACCCAGTCATAATGGCTCACAACTGTAGTCCCAGCTACTCAGGAGACAGGTGGGAGGACTGCTCCAGGCCAGGAGGGGGAGTCTGCAAAGAGCTGAGATCATGTCATTGCACTCCAGCCTGGGCAACAGAGCCACACCCCATCCCCAAAAAAACGGTGAGGGAGGGAGAAAAAAGGCTGACATAACAAAGCATTAGCAATCATGAAATCTGGGTGATAAGTTTACTGAGTTTTATTATATTAGCCTTTATATGTGACTCTACCCAGGTTGGAGTACAGTGGCGCAATCTCAACACACTAACCTTCGCCTCCTGGGTTCAAGTGATTCTCCTGACTCAACCTCCCAAGTAGCAGGGATTACAGGTAGCTACCACCATGCCTGGCTAATTTTTATATTTTCAGTGGAGACAGGATTTCACTACATGGACCAGGCTGGTCTCAAACTCCTGACCTCAGGTATTCAACCCACCTCGGCCTCCCAAAGTGCTAACATTACAGGTGTGAGCCACCGCACTCAGCCAACTAAACACTTCCATAATAAAAAGTTAAAACACTTTCATATTTTGTTTCAAAATAACTTCAAACTTATAGAAAAAGTACTCAAATCATACTAAAATTTCACTCAACTCACCACTATTAACAAGTTGCCAAGTTTACAGTAACATTCTGTCTCTATCCATCACATACACACACACACACAGTTAAAAACCTAGCACAGTGTCTCACACCTATAATCCCAGCACCTTGGGAGGTTGAGGTGGGTGGATCACCTGAGGTCAGGAGTTTGAGACCAGCCTAGCCAACATGGTGAAAACCCATCTCTACTAAAAATACAAAAATTAGCCAGGCATGGTGGTGCATGCCTATAATCCCAGCTACTCAGGAGGCTGAGACAGGAGAATTGCTTAAAACCAGGAGGCAGAGACTTCCATATCACACCACTGCACTCCAGCCTTGACCACAGAACAAGACTCTGTCTCAAAAAAAAAAAGTTAAGATATAGGCTCTACCTATTTTTACTTCCAAAATACTGGGGGTAACCCCTTACAATCAAGGACATGCTCTTGTGTAACAAAGCACAATTTTCCAAACCAAGAATGAATGTTATTAGCATGCCTCTGGTGTCCTGCACTCATGTACAAATTACATCAACTGCCCCAGTGATGCTTTTTAATGGTAATTTAAAGAAATTATTTTAAACATCTAATCTTTTAAAAAGATGTTTGTAAAAAGTTCATAAAGAGAAGAATGAGACCGGGCATGGTAGCTCATTCCTATAATCCCAGCACTTTGGGAGACTGAGGTGGAAGAATCACTTGAACTCAGGAGTTGGGAGACCAGTCTGAGCAACATGATGAAACCATGTATTTCGTCCCTGCAAAAAAAATCAAAAATCTGTTGGGCATGGTGGAGCGTGCCTATAGTCCCAGCTACTGGGGAGGCTGAAGCAGGAGCAACACTGCAGTGAGCTACAATTATGCCACTGCACTCCAGCCTCAGTGACAGAGCGAAATCCTGTCTCCAGAAAACAAAAAGATGATGCGTATTAGGGTGAAAGATTCTCAAATAATCCCCATTAAGATGTTGACAATGGGCAGAAAAATATGTACAAAAAGAAAAACAAGATGGCTGGGCATGGGGACTCATACCTGTAATCCCAGCACTTTGAGAGGCCAGTATGGGTAAATCACCTGAGGTCAGGAGTTCAAGACCAGCCTGGCCAACATGGCAAAATCCTATCTCTACTATAAATACAAAAATTAGCCAGCAGTGATGATGCATGCCTGTAATCCTATCTACCTGGCAGACCAAAGCAGGAGAATCACTTGAACCCAGGAGGCAGAGGATGTAGTGAGCTGAGATCATGCCACTGCACTCCAGCCTGGGAGACAAAGTAGGAGACATACTAAAATGGTGACAATGGTTGCCTCTGTGTGTTTCCTTACTACTGATCTGCAATGTGTTTTTTTTAACCCACATTTCCTATGGTGAGACAGTATTATTTTTCTAAGGAGTGGAATATGGGAGGGGAACAATGTCACTAATAACTATACCGAATATTTAAAAAAGCCAAAACTGTCAGGTTGAACATGATGTCTAGGCAAGAAATAAAATATATAAAAATAAAAGCCCAAATCTGAAGCTAAAGCAAGAGCAGTCCAGTGTATGGCTGTCCCAGACCAAGCCTTCTGCAGAGATTTAAGCTGCTCATGGCTTATGTGTTTATCACATTCAAGGTGAGGGACTTGGGGGACAGAGTTGGTGTCTCTGAGACCACAGGGCCAGCACAGGCAGATTCAAGACAAGTCTGCAGAAGAGCCAAGGAGAGAGAAGTCAAGCGGGGAGCTCAGCATGTTCATTCATTGCTTGATTCATTCCCCACCACCTCCCTGAGGTCTCAGCAGCCCAGCCTTACCCTGTGATCCACCAGAAGGTGATCCTGGAGAGGCAGGAGGCGCTGAACTCCGGGCAAGGATTCTAGTGGAAAAAAAGAACAAGTTAGGGTGGAAGAGGAAAAGGAACGATTCAACTTTTCATCAAGGCCAGAGCTTGGCAAGGAGTATTCAGCTGCCAGTTCATCCTTCAAGAGGACTAATATCTGCTCCACACCATTCTACACCCCAAAAAAATTCTCTAAGCCCCAGGAGAAAGAAACTCATAGCACCTCCTCTTGTTTCACTCAACAGAGTGTCTACCAGGCATAACCAGAACAAGCTATCGACCTGCCTTATCCTCTATCCCTGCAGCAACCCCAGGAGCTGGTGTTAACATCATCCCCACTTTACTCATTCATTCAACAAATATTTTCTGAGCACCTACTACGTGCTAGGCACTCTACAAGATACTACAGGGTTACCTTAGATCCCCACGACATCCTCATAAGCTGGTATTACTACTGCCCCCATTTTCCTCATTCTGGTATTGAATATTTATTGACCACTTACTATAAGCTGGACATGTTACCTAGAACTTATATACTTGCATTATTTTATATGCTCATGGAATTCTATAAACACGGTATTACTATTATCTCCACTTCATTCATTCATCCAACAAATATTTCCTGAGCACCATCCAAATGCCAAGCACCCTGCATATAAATCTAAACAAACAGAAATGACCCCTGCCTGTATGGAGCTTGCGGTTCACTGCAGTAATCATCAATAATACCTGCCAAGATTCTCTACTATTAGTAATTAGCTCTTTTCTAAGTGCTTTACACAAATTACCCTATTTAATCTTCATCCCCACCTTACAAGGTAGGTGAAAGTATAAAATCCCTAATTTGGTCCCCAGTTTCTTTTAACTGCAGAGATAAAATGATTTGTTCGAGGTCCCACAGCTAAAAGTGGAGGAGACAGGACATAAGCCCCAAAGAGTCAGGCTCCAGAGAGAGACATGCATCAAATGATCACATGAACAAATGCAAAACTGCAACTTCTGGGTCTTGCTATGTGTCCTAAAGGTAGAGAAATATTACCAATGAGACAAGGTCAGCACATGGGGGCTGATCTGGTGTACCAAGGTAAGAGAAGTCTCCCCGGAGGAAGACAGTCAAGCTGGAGCCTGAAAGATGAGTAGAGAAGAACTAAGTAATGGGAAAAGGCAAGGCACTCCAGCAGACAGCAGCTGTGCAAAGGCCTGGTGGTAAAAGGAAGCACGGCAGACTCTAGGAACCAAGAAGAGAAGCCTGAGCAGTCTACACTGAAGGCTGTGCATAGTCTACACTGCAGGCCACATATTTTGGTATTCCTTCTAAGGGCAAGGGAAAGTACTGAGAGACTCTAAGCAAGCTATCAACTTATTTACCAGAGGCACGAACATGAGCCACAACTCAACTTACAGGCAAGAAAAGGGACCGACGGAGTCCTGGGATGACAGACCAAGCCTGGGTTTCAACACAGATGCACTGCGGTCAAAATTCTGAAACAAGCTTTAAGCAGGACAGGGAAGAAAGGTCACCATGTAGCAATAAGACCTTTAACCAAAAAGACTCCACTCAAAGTTCCAGCCTTGTGCAGAGATAAGGCGCTTATGAAACCCGATAAGGCAGCATACCCTCTTCAAGTGGTTTTCAATCCAAGGCTAGGTGTGCATTTTTAAAAACACTGTATCCTGGTAGGGTGTGGTGGTTCATGCCTGTTCTTATAGCACTTTCGGAGGCCTAGGCGGGAGGATCACTTGAGGTCAGGAGTTGGAGACCAGCCTGGCCAATATGGCAAAACCCAATTTCTATTAAAAATACAAAACTTAGCTGAGAGTGGTGCCTCATGACTGTAGTCCCAGCTACTCAGAAGGCTGAGGCAGGAGTATCACTTGAACCCAGGCGGCAGAGATTGCAGTGAGCTAAGATCCCACCCCTGCACTCCAGCCTACGGGCCCAGTCTGTATCTGGGCCCTATCCCCACCAGGGATTCTGATTAAGCTGGTTTGGGGTGCAACTGGGGCACTGAAACTTTTTGTTTTAAATGTCCACATTCTTCTTGGAAAAGTGGCTGGGCAGGAAATAGGCAAGATAAGCCAAGAACATCTTGTCACACTGGACAACAAGGAAACTAAGCATAAGCTGCATTGTTACAAGACCCAAGAGCCAAGCAGAAGTGGCACTGCAGGCTAAAAAAGGGACAATTTGAGCTTTGACAAGGAGAGTAAGTGCAACGAGCTAAAACATACCATGTATGGTTTTTGTTTTTTTTTGAGACAAAGTCCTGCTCTGTCTCCCAGGCTGGAGTGCAGTGGCATGATGCTGGCTCACTGCAACCTCCATCTCCTGGGTTCAAGTGATCTTCCCACCTTGGCCTCCCAAGTAGCTAGGATTACAAGCGTGAGCCAAGAAACTGAGCTAATTTTTGTATTTTTAGTAGAGACAGGGTTTCACCCTATTGGTAACCAGGCTAGTCTTGAACTCCTGACCTCAAGTGATCCACCTGCCTCAGCCTCCCAAAGTGCTTGGACTATAGAAATAAGCCATCACGCCTGGCCAAAAACCTCCATTTTTACTTAAGGTTTTAATGATTAATTTCACATGATAATGTGAAAAGTAATGAGTCTCTAACAGTCTTATCCCAAAAATTGGGACTGATTAGAGAGCACTACTTTGCTCAGTCCCATTTTCCTTCAAATCCCTATTTTGAGTAAATACACTAGCTTTATTTTCCACCCCTGTATAGGGCAGTAAATGCTACTAGGAAAAAACTCTAGATTAGCAGCAGTACAAATTCAAAGTTTCCAACCTGAGTATAAGCATTGCTTTGTAATTATTTTTACCCATCCCAGGTTACAGTCACCTATTACCCCAAAATGAAATCTCCAATGTCCTTTATTCTGCCTAAAACCATGCTGGCTCCTCAGTGGAAAACATCAACAATTATGGGTCTCTTCACTTTACCTTGAAACCACCAATTTCTGTCGCACCGACTCTGCTTATTACTATGTATGTCTAGCATTAGACTGGACTCCTAGAAAAGAGAAACTCACATCCATTCTCTCGGCCCCAAGGGCAAAACTCCAAAGTATAATTAAGGGAAGAAATAACTCCAATTCTTTCAAGTTCTGAATTCGTGGTCCCCTCAAAAATGGCAGTGCGTATTCAAGCTCTGCTTGTTTTCCTGATTGAGTTCTCCATCTCTGGGGCAGGGGGGTCTTACAAAATAGGTGAGGAAGTCAAAAATGTCTAGAGATTACTCCCACGTGTTAATCTTTGCAAATAAAACTCTTAGACCTAACTTTTTACTAACAAAAATTTCATAATAGTTTTGAGACAGGGTCTTGCTCTGTCACCCAGGCTGGTGTTACAGCTCACTGCAACCTCATCCTCCTGAGCTCAAGCAGTCCTCCCACCTGAGCCTCCCAAGTGTTCAGGCCACAGGCACAAGCCACCATGTGTGTGGCTTTTTGTAGAGATGAGGTTTCATCATGTTGCCCAGGCTGGCCTCAAACTTCTGGGCTCACAGGATCCGCCTGTCTCAGCCTCCCAAAGTGCTGTGATGACAGGCGTGAGCCACTATGTCAAGCACCAACACCACATTTTAATTGTGTTGAGGTGGCTGGACTGAAGGAAGAAATGGGTACTGTATCTTCTTCTATTTCCCAGTCCTAACAGGTTCTAAACACACTAATGTTAAAGTTTAAATGCCCTAGTGCTGAAAAAGAGATTTAAAACCTTGACAGTCTCACAGTATCTGGTATAAGTTGAAGAAAAATAATAAAATGCAAGGTGCTGAACATTTTAAAAGAATTTGAATGCTGCATCTGTAAAAATGAAATCAGAATAACCTGAGGAAAGATTTCAGAGATGAAAAACATGATTTACCAAACAGCAATACAAGTAATAAGTAGCAGATGAAATATAACCAAACAAAAATTAGTAACAAAAATCAGTAAATGAATTATCCAACTCAAATCAAAAGGACAAAATAGATTAACAAGATGAAAGAAAAAAATGTTAGAAATATGCAGATCAACCTTACCAATACTGTGTATAGAAAGAAAACAGTATTATTTTTGACAAATTTACTGAGCATTGAGCATCTAGTATACTACAACCATGATACAATAGAGAATGAGAGACATGGAATGTGTCCTCAAAACGTCCACATTCTAGAACAAATGAAGCTGAAGTAGTAACCAAAGAAATTACTAAAGAAAACTATGCTTATGAAGAAAGTGGGTAGGAAGAGAAGGCAAGGAAAAAAAATAAATGTATACGTTTTACATTTTAGCCAAATTTTAAGGCATGAGATTCTGATAGAGTTTCAAAGCTTTCAGAGATTAAAGTATCCTTCAAGCACAGTGAGGATTGAGTGTCTAGGGTAATCAAGTTTTTAAAACGATCTGGGTGGCAATGTTTTTAAACAGATACCACACATGGACAAGGATATGGTTACATTGGCACTCCCATACATTTGAAGTGGGAACATAAATTGTTTTAATTTTCTAGATGTAAATTTGACGATGCCACTTCATGTACAGCTTAAGAACCTTACTAAGATTTGTGCCGGGCATGGTGGCTCACACCTGCAAACCCAGAACTTTGGAAGGCTGAGGAAAGTGGATCACTTGAGGTCAGGTGGATCACCTGACTTCAGGACTTCAAGACCAGCCTGGCTAACATGGTGAAACTCTACTAAAAATACAAAAATTAGCGGAGTGTGGTGGTGGATACCTGAAATCCTAGCTACTAGGGAGGCTGAGGCAGAACTACTGAACCCAGGAAAATGAAGTTGCAATGAGCAGGGATCATGCCAGCACACTTCAGCCTGGACAACAAAGCGATAATCTGTCAAATAAACAAACAAACAAATAAATAAAGCCTTAGTAAGGTTTCTTATGTCCTTCCCATCCCCTTCCATTTTCTGTGCTATTGTCATACCTTTTACTCCCACATAATAAAACTTATAAAGCATTATTTTTGCTTTAAAAAACTCTTTTTAGAGCTACTATTTCTTTAATTCAGTGTTCTGCAACCATCGCCACTAACTGCAGAACATTTCCATGACACAAAAAGGGAAGTCCTGTACCTGTTAGCAATCACCTTCAATGCAACAAGCTTTTAAAGAGATTACAAAAGAAAAAAAAATTGTCTTACTTTTACTGCCACAGTTACCATTTCTAGTACTTCACTTCTCTTTGTGAAGCTCTAAATTTCCATTTTAAATCACTTGCCTTCTGCCTGAACAACTTCAACATTTCTTGTGGAGGTCAGCCAGCAACAAATTCAAGTAGGCTTTTTTTTTTTTTTTCCCAGACAGGGTCTTGCTTTGTCACCTAGGCTGAAGTGCAGTGTGGCTCAATTATAGCTCACTGCAGCCTCTGCTTCCCAGGCTAAAGCGATCCTCTCACCTCAGTCTCCCAAGGAGATGAAACCACAGGTGTGCGTCACCGTGACTGGCTGATTTTTGTATTCTTTGTAGAGATGGGGTTTCGCCATGTCACCCAGGCTGGTCTCGAACTCCTGGACTCAAGCAATCCTCCGGCCTCAGCCTCCCAAACTGCTGAGATTGCAGGTGTTGGCCACTGCACCCAGCCCCAGTATGCTTTTTTGAAAACTACTATAAAGATGTCTCTCCAGGCCAGGTGCAGTGACCCACACCTGTCATCCCAGCATTTTGGGAGCACGAGGCAGGCAGATGATGAGGTCAGGAGTTTGAGACCAGCCTGGCCAACACAGTGAAACCCCTTCTCTACTAAAAATACAAAAATATTAGCCAGGTGCTCTCCTCTCATGCATGTGTAGGTCAGGACTCAACTTGACGTCAGGAGACTCCTCCACCTGCCTCTGGAGTTCTGTGTACAACTCCCACATTTCTAGTACTCTGCCCCACAAATTATGACAGTCTTCCCTCCCCACCAATCCTCATCTTGTCCTCTCAATTCAGTAAGACACCAGGCTTTAATTTGGGTTCCCCATCCCTGCTCTGTACCCTAAAAACTACCTCTAGATAATAAATTGGAGCAACCATAGAACTCAGCAGGTTTGTTTCCCACCTTTCAGTGACCACAGTCTTGTGCTGCCTGTTACCCAATGTCTACAAATTGCTATTTCATATATTGTTCAGTTTTCTAGTTACTTAAAATAGCAAGGCTGTTATTCCATCACTGCTGGACAGAATATATATTCAAGTATATGTTCAAGTAACAGTTTCTCAATTTTGTATCTTGTTGCTGTTTTGAGACAAGGTCTCAATCTCACCCAAGCTGGAGTGCAGTGGCTCGTAACTCACTGCAACCTCAAAATCCCAAAGTGCTGGGATTACAAGCATGTACATGACCTTACAACCTCAATTTAGTTTCTCAAGGCTTAGTCTTCATCAAGCTCTACTTCATTAAAACACCAAACAATATTTTTCTTCTTTTTTTCTTGGAATTTGCCCTGCTCTTCTTAGTTTGACAATGAACGCAATTCTCCTACCTCTTTGATTATGATTTCTGATTCTTGAATCCTGAACGTTTTAGGAAAGTTTAGGCAAGTTTCCCAAATCCTATTCTTGCCACATTTTCTTCTACATCTGTGTAGGACTTCACCCTATGAAATTTCAACAAGTCCCACAAATTCATTCATGACCTCTTCTGGGGCTCTTAACAAAAGTAACTAGGTGACTAGCCTTGCACTTCATTCACAGACAGGGAGAAAAGGTGAATAAAAAATATAATTTCTACATTTTAAAGTGTGTGTGTGTGTGTGTGTAATTTTTTTTTTCTTTTTTTTTAGCAGAGTCTTGCTCTGCTTAAAGTTACCCAGGCAGCTCAGTAGCACAATCTTGGCTCACTGCAATTTCTGCCTCTGGAGTTCAAATAATTCTCATTCCTCAGCTCCTGAGTAGGTGGGACTACAGGCACGTGCCACCATGCCCAGCTCTAATTTTGGCATTTTTAATAGACATGGTGTTTCAGCATTGTCCAGGCTGGTCTCGAACTCCTGGCCTTAAGTGATTTGATGGCCTCAGCCTCCCGAAGTGCTGGCATTACAGGCATGAGCCACCACGCTGGCTATAAAAGTACTTTTATACACATACAACCAGAGGAAAAAACAGAAGTTAATTCATTTAAAGTGTAAAGAATGATGACCTGTTTTATAGCTAACATTATCTTACTTTTCTGTATCAACACACACACACCCCCCTATTTTTTAAGTCCCCATTTCTAGCTCATAACTCCAGCTGTTTCTGCAGGCCAGAATCTCACACTACTATTTTCAAAAGAAAGTCACGTATCTTCCTACTGGAGCCTCTCTCCCTCTGTGCCAGTTAGTGATACCCAGTCCTCCCATAAGCTTCAGAGTCATTTCAACTTGTTGGAAACAATGAATTTCAACCCAAGAGAAACAGTATTATTGCAGATGGCTCCAGAATAATGATCTCAAAGCAGCACTAAAAAGCTAGCAGAATGAAAAACCCCCTTTTTTCTAGGTCAGAGATGTAAGGAAAATCTGCAAGGAGGAAGCCATGCCCTTGGCATAGAAGCAGCTTGTTCCCGGGATAAAGAGGTACATTTGGAAGAGCACGCCAAAGTTGGACAGTAAACCAACAAGGGAACTGTTGAGCAGAGTCAAGAGGCTGGGGACTTGAGCCTGCATTTTGGGGGTACACACAGATGACAAAAGGAGAAACACATCATAAACCCAGTTTCAAATGGCACTTTGGCATAAAATTATTTTGCTGCCCAAACTGACATTTAATATTGGTTGAAATGAAAAAGACATACCAGCCATCAACTTTTTACCATGTAATTATTGTAATGAATAATGTCATGTCTTTTTACTTTAACGCTCTTTTGAAAATGGGTAATAAATGAACAATGTACAGAATTCAAAAATCATAAAATAGTATGGACGTTGAGAATATTTTGTTAAGTGAAACAAACCAGTCACAAAAAGACAAATACTATATGATTCCATTTGTATGAACTGTCTAGAGAAGTCCAATTTATAGAATCAAAAAGTAGAATGGTGACTGCCGAGGGTAGGTGAAAGTATTAAGTACTTGTTTAATGGCTACGAAAAAGTTTTGGAGACTGTACTATATGAATATACTTAACACTACTGAACTGTACCCTTAAAAATGTTTAAGGTAGTAAGTTTTGGTATATGCATTTTATCACAATTAAAAATTTTTTTAAAAGGCTGGGTGAGGTGGCTCATGCCTATAATCCCAGCACTTTGGGAGGCTGAGGCAGGATCACAAGGTCAGGAGTTCAAGACCAGCCTGGCCAAAATGGTGAAACCCCATATCTTTAAAAAAAAAAAAAAAAATTAAGTCACAAATTAGTATAGAAAATATCACCTAATTGTGCCTTCTGGCCACTCAGTTCCACTCCTAAGAGACAGCCAGTGTTCAGATATACTCTCATCTTTCCAAATATATTCCATCTATGTATGCTTGCAAATATATGCCTTTTGAGATAAAACACACCCACACACAAATAGCAGCATACTACATGTACTGTTCATGCACTTTGATCTTTTCATTTCCTACACCTTAAAGAGTTTCCTAATTACTTCATATAGAGCTGCCTTACTCCTTTTAAGAGCTGCTACTAATTCACTATATGACTGTATCAATTATTTTACCAGTTCCCTACTCATGGGTGATTAGGTTTTGTAAGAACTTTTGTGCTTACAAACACAGCAATGAATACCTTCGTGCTATTTTTAACCCCCACATATGCATAAATGCATGTAAATCTATGTTATATGCCTATAATAAATCTGCTAAAAAGTTGTGTATTCATGTGTGACTGCATGTATGCACACACACTTTTACAAAAAAAAGTATACTGAAGTACAGCACACAAATTCAGAACAGTATGATTCTTAAGTTCATAGCTTGATGAATTTTCCCAATATGATCCCACTTAACAGAGATTAAAAAAAAAAAAAAAAACTACAACTTTATAAGCCTCCAAAAGCCCCTCATTTCTCCACCCAGTAAGCTCCCCAAGAGTAATACCACCCTGACTTCTAACACCACAATTTTGTCTGTTTTTGAACGTGTATTTTTGTGTTTGGCTCTTTCACCTAACATTATGTTTGTGAGTCATTCATGTTGTGTGAATTGTAATTCATTATTATTGCTCTATAATATCCCATTATGTAAATACATCACAACTTCTCTAAACTTATCTGTATTACACAAGGTATGTGAATTCTTACATTTTAATAAATATTATTCAATTGCTCTCCAAAGAGTTTAGAATCTTACCATTAACATGTGGAAGTAGCTATTTTCCTACACCTTAGCCAACAGCTAATCAAATGTCTTAATCTTGGCTAATCGGATATTTTTAAAATGCTTTCAATACAGTTTCAATTTGCTTTTCTCTTATAACAACTGAAACTAAGGAACATTTCATACATTTAGGTATAAAAGCCACTTGACTTTCCTTTGAACTGCCTCTGAATGTGTCCACTTGGCCTTTTCTATCAGCAGGTGACCCTGCTTTGTAAAGGAAATTAGCCCTTTGAACATGCTGCACGGCAACTAGTTTTTCCCAGCTTATCACTGCAGTCCCAGTTTTGTTTATACTAGTTTTTGCCCTGTCTAGGTTGTCTGTTTTTTTGTGGTTTTGTTTAAGATTAAAAGTCCCACTCTGTTGCCCAGGCTGGAGTGCAGTGCAGTGGTGGGATCTCAATGGTTCATGCCTGTAATCCTAGCACTTTGGGAGGCCAAGGTGGGTGGATCACTTGAGGTCAGGAGTTCAAAACCAGCCTGGCTGACATGGTGAAACCCCCATCTCTACTAAAAAAATAATTGGGTGGTGGCAGATGCCTGTAATCCCAGCTACTCAGGAGGCTGAGGCAAAAAAATTGCTTGAACCCAGGAGGTAGAGATTGCAGTGATAGCAAGTTAGCTATCTCTCTTCCTGAATAACTACTCAGTTCATCCAATACTATTTACTAAAGGATTCACTATTTTCATCACCTATACCACTGTTGACCACACAAAACATTCCTATAAACGAGGCTACTTCAGTGCTGTCAACTCTGTGCCACTGATTGGATGCTCAAATCGGTTTGGCTTCAACATACGCTTTAACATTTGACAGCACTAATACCCCCTTCCTGAACAGTTTCATAATTTTTGTGAAAATTTTCATTTTTGTTCTTTCATAAAACTTTACAAATTTTGAAAAGCCTACTGAAATATTAATTGGGATTACTTTAAATTCACAAAGAAAGAGAGAGGGAGGGAGGGAGGGAGGGAGGGAGGGAGAGAGAGAGAGAGAGAGAGAGAGAGAGAGAGAGAGTGTGTGTGTGTGTGTATCTTCCCCCAGAGATTCCATCTCACTATATTGCCCAGGCTGGTCTCCAATTCCTGGCCTCAAGTAATCCTCCCACCACCTCAGCCTCTCGAAGTGCTATGTTATAGGCGTGAGACACTGTGCTTGGCATATTTCACTAAATTTAAGACATTTTCAATGTAAGATGCAGTTATTTTATGCCACTTGAAAGAGCTTCTTTAGATGTAAACACTTCTGTTTTCATATCACATCTGACTTGTACTTATAATGAAAGTTATGTAAAATAAATTGGTTAAGATGCTCCTAACCTAATTTCATAATTACCACATGGCCAGAAGTACCTGGAAGATGTCATCAGTTTTAGTATCTTTACTTTAGAAATCATAAAAGGTTAAAAAAAGTATCTTTTTAACAATATAAAATATGGCGACTTAGAGGAAATACTGACATCATATCAATGTGAATGCCGTCCTATTCAAGAACAAAATATGTTTTAGCATTTATTCAATTCTTTTATGAGCATCAGTAAAGTTTTATATTTTTCAGAAATATCTTTCATTTTCTTGTTAATTATTGTTTATATTACTTTTTTCTTCGTAGAGTTAGGGTCTGACTGTGTTGCCCAAACTGGTCTCAAACTCCTGGGCTGAACTGATCCTCCCGCCTTGGCCTCCCTCCCAAAGTGCTGGGATTACAGGCATGAGCCAGTGTGCCTAGCGAGTTTATTTCTAAGTAGAATTTTTGTCCTTCAAAAATTCTGTTTTGAAAATGTGCAAAACCTTTATACAGTAAATTATATAACAATATAGAGAAGAAAAATTAAAGACCAAAACACATTGAGAAAAAAATGCTTATGAATCAGAAGATTCAATGGTACAAACATTTCAAATTCCCATTATAGCAGGTGTAACTAAAAACAAAACAAACAAACAAAATTTCCAATTATTCCAAACTGATTCAACACAATTCCAATCAAATCCTAACAGGTATTCTTGTGGAACATCACAGCTGATTCTAAAATTTATGTGGAAAAGCACAGGGCCCAGGGCCACACATAACCAAGATTTATTATCCACTGAATATCAAGACATAAAACTAGATGAGTGATTCTCAAACTTTTTGGTTTGACATTCCTGCAAACTATTGAGATTCTAAAATGCTTTAGTTAACATGGGTTATAGCTATTATATTTAACACAGTAGAAATTAAAACAGAAAATTTATTTATTTATTTATTGAGATGGAGTCTCCCTCTGTCACCCAGACTAAAGTGCAGTGGCACGATCTTACGTCACTGCAACCTCTGCTTCCCAGGTTCAAGCAATTCTCCTGCCTCAGCCTCCCAAGTAGCTGAGATTACAAGCATGTGCCACCACATCCCACTAATTTTGTATTTTTTTATTTTATTTTATTTTATTTTGAGATGGAGTTTTGCTCTTGTTACCCAGGCTGGAGTGCAATGGCACGATCTCAGCTCACCGCAACCTCCGCCTCCTGGGTTCAGGCAATTCTCCTGTCTCAGCCTCCTGAGTAGCTGGGATTACAGGCACACACCACCATGCCCAGCTAATTTTTTTGTGTTTTTAGTAGAGACGGAATTTCACCATGTTGACCAGGATGGTCTCGATCTCTTGACCTCGTGATCCACCCGCCTCAGCCTCCCAAAGTGCTGGGATTACAGGCGTGAGCCACCGCACCTGGCTAATTTTGTATTTTTAGTAGAGACAGGGTTTTACCATGTTGCCCAGGCTGGTCTCAAACTCCTGACCTCAGGTGATCTGCCTGCCTTAACCTCCCAAAGTGCTGGGATTACAGGCATGAGCCACCAGGACCAACCAAAACAGGAAAGTTTTAAGTGTTAATTCATTCATTTAAAAATAATAAGAAATCTATTATATGCTACTATAAATAACACTTTGATGAAAAATAACTGTTTTCCAAAACAAAATTTTTAAAATGAGTGAGAAGAGTGGCACTCTGACATTTTTGGAAATCTCCTTTATTTGAAAGACCTCTTGGTTCTCTTATCTGCTTCTGCATTCAATCTGGTGCAACACTGCATTTCATGTGGCCTCTGGAAAACCCTATTGTACATTTGTGAGAACATGAGTCTGAGACAAAAAAATCACCTAGCGTTACTATAAAAAGAGTTTTGACCTGGCCAACACCCTGCTCTGAAAAGGTTTAAGGAAACGAGGAATAGAAGAGGCAGGCAAATCCTTGTATAACAATCACCTGACTTGTGTCTAAGGAAGCTCTACAAAGCAGGAGGGGATGGCATTTACAATAAATGGAACTAAACATCATCATCAACATCATCATCATCATCATCATCATTTGTCATCTAGGAAAACAAACTGACCCCATCTCACACCACACACACACAAATTCCAGAGACTATTGATTTAAAGGTGAAAAGCAAACAGTAACAGAAAATAATGCACATTGTCTTCACACAGGGGTACAAAAACTGCTAATTACAAAGGAAAAGTCAGAAATGTTCAACTACATTAAAATTAAGATTTTCTTTAATCAGAGAGATGCAAATCAAAACTACAATGAGATACCATTTCATTCCAACTTAAATGGCTTTTATCAAAAAGACAGGCAATGACTGATGATGGCGAGGATATGGGGAAAAAGAAACCCTTGAACACTGTTGTTGGGAATGTAAATTAGCATAATCACTATGTGGAGTTTCCTCAAAAAGCTAAAAATAGAACTACTGTGTGATCCAGAAATCCCACTGCTGGGTATACACCCAAAAGAAAGGAAATGAGAACATCAAAGAGATTCCTGCACTCCCAAGCTGACTGCAGCACTGTTCACAATAGCCAAAATGTGGAATTAACCTACGTGTCCATCGATAGAAGAATGGATAGAGAAAATGTGGTACTTACACACAACGCAGCACTATTCAGCCATCAAAACGAATGCAATCCTGCCATTTGCAACAACATGGATAAAACTGGAGGACATCATGTTAAGTAAAATAACCAGGCACAGAAAGACAAACATTGCATGTTCTCACCCATATGTGGGAGCTAAAGGAAAAAAACGGAACCCACGTAGACATAGTAGAGGACAGGAAGGGAAGTGGGAAATAAGGAGGGATTGGTGAATGGGTACAAAAATACAGTTAAAAAGAATGAGTAAGTCTAGTGTTCAGTAGCACAATAGGGCAACACAGTTAACAGTAATTTTTTTCTATTTCAAAATAACTAACAGACTAGAATTGGAATATTCCTAACATGGAGAAATGATAAATGCTTCCAGTGATGGGGTACCCTACCCTAATCTGATAATTATGCATTGTGTGCTTGCATCAAAATACCGCATCCACCCCACAAACATGTATGGTTATTAGGTATCCATGATAATTCAAAATTTAAATTTAAAACTTTTCTGTTAGTGAAGAGATACCTTTAAGAGAATAAAAATGCTAGCCACTACCCAGTAAAAGACAGTTGCAACACAGATATGGGGCAGGGAGGGGATCAATATATTTATCCCTTATACAAACCAATAAAACAAAAAACATCAACCAGAAAATTAGGCAAAAGACTTCAATGAGCTCTTCAAACAGAAGACATCCAAATGGCCAAAAAAAAAAATATATATATATATATATACGTATATACATAATATATATATACGTATATATATAATATATATATATATACACATATAAATATTAAACAGCTGTTCCAACCTCATTAGTAAACAGAGAAATGCAAATTAAAACCAGAGTGGAGTGTTAATTGGTACAACCACTTTGGGAAACTGCTTTGTCGTTTCTAGTAAACACTCACCTGCCCCATGACCCAGAAATCCACTCCTATATACCCAAGAGAAATAAGTACATATAAGAATGTTCATAGCAGCTTAATTCATAATATCCAAAACCTAGAAACAATCAATAAGAAAATAAACAAAGTGTAATATAATCATACAACAGAACTCAGCAAGAAAAAAAGAGTAACTAACAACATGGATAAATTGCAAAAAACCATTATGCTGAACAAAAGAAGTCAGACACAGTAGAGTACATAAAATCTGAGCTCATTTATGTGAAGTTCAAAAACAAGTAAAACGCAGGTATAGTGGCCAAAGTCAAAATAGCAGCTTCTGTCTGGACAAGCGCATGAGAGAACTTTCTGGGATGATGGAAATATTCTGTATCTGGATAGTGGTTACAGAGATACATTTATATGTAAAATATCCTTTCAGGCTGTACATTTTTGTATTTTATTGTGTATGACATACACCTCAGTTACACACAAAACCCTAATTATGTACCTACCAGAATGGTTAACAAAATTGGGAAAAAGGTGGATAAGCAAGAATTCTCACACTTTGTTGGTAGAAATCTAAACTAGTGCAACCACTTTGGAAAATAGTCTGGCATTACTAAGTAAAACTGAAGATATACAAAAATGTTTATAGCAGCAGTATTCATAATTGCTGTGAACTGGAGACAAATACCCATCAGAAAGAGAGTGAAGGATGGG